AAAGATGTCTGCACCATTTCCAGAATAAGAAATTTAATGATAACGAACAAATGTTCCTTCCAACCCACTTGGAGTCTATGCTTAGGAACAATAGAACTTTTCCATCTGAGGGAAAAGGGTTTTTTAAAAAAAAAGCACATAGAAGATAGCTGGGTTAGGATTGTGTTTCCGGGTAGGATGTTGTAAAGATTTTTGGTATCTTTGCCCTATGCAGCCCTCAGTTTCTCAGCTACAGAAAGAACCTGACAGATTAACCTCTTAAGAGATCTCTGCTTTTGTTTTATACTAGGGTACATTATTATAAACTACAGTTGTTAGTACTATTTTTCTTTTCCAAAAAGAAACTCAGTTAAGAGGTAGAGTATATCCAAGTTAGACAGCAATTATTTTTGCAAAAATACCATTCTAGTTTTATGCACATAAAATATGCATAGATTATGCATGAGATATAAACTTCCCCAAATATGGTCAATGAGACTATGAGACTATTACGAGGGTTTAAGATTAGACACTTACACGTTCCTAAATGAATACCTACTACTTTAGTTTGCAGACACGATTGTTAGTCTGCACATTAACAAAATCTAATCCTGAACAAAATGATTTTAATACAGTAACAAAATGATTTCAATTCAGTTTAACAAGCAGTGATTGTACATTTACCATGTGCCACAAGCAGCACTCTCTCTTTAACGCAGATCTAACCATGATTCCCAGTCCCTCCTCAGCCCCCACAGATGGTGAGACTGCATGATCTCACTGCATGTGCTTCTCCATGGCTCCATCTTGTCATCTGTCTCACTTGTCACTCTGACCTCTGGTTTCTTACCACTAAGCAATCTGAGGTTGCTGGTACACTCTGAACTATTCTGTGCCTCTCTGCTTTTGCTAACTGTGTCATTCTGCAGGAATATAAAAATAAACAAAATGCTATCCCTATTTTAGAGTAACTTAAGTGTGAGACAACAAATAGTTTAATTATGATCTTACAAGTGCCATGAAAAAGAATGATTCAGGGGAGAAAGGCACTTACCAAAGAGAAGATGAAAAGACAGAGATGGGGGTGCAATTGATGTGCAGATGGGGGCGGGGATGCAAGTCAGGGAATGTTCCTGGAAGATTACATCTAAACCCAATCTTGAAGGACTGCAGAACACCAACTTCAGCCAAAATTATCATCAACTTCCAGATGTGTATCTCCAGCCAGAACTTTGCTCTCAACTCCAGACTCTCTTACCTAGCTGCCGACTGCTCTTCACCACTATCTTCTCCACTGTCACATAACTCACATGCAACATGTCCCAAACTGAATTCATTACCTCTCCCTCAAAAGCTACTCTTTCCACAGCCTTCCCAATCTCATGTGATGATAATTCCTTCCTTTCAGTTGTTCAGGCCCAAACCTTTGGAGTCATCCTGGACTCATTCTTGGCAATGTAAAGTCCTGTGCCTTAAAAGGAGCAGCTGGCTGGTGTAGTGTGGGTTAAAGTTGGATGGAAGTGAGTTCAAGAGGGAATGAGAGGAAAGGAATTGGAATCAGATAGTAGACACATCTTTTTCAAAGAAGGAGCAGAATTTAAAAAGTAAATGAGATGGACATGGGATTGAGATAGGTTTTTTTTTTCCTTAGGGGAGAGAAATATTGCGGTATGTTTAAAGCTGATGGATGACCCAGGAGAGGAACTGATAATGCAGGTGGCAGAGGAGACCACTGCTACAGTAGTGCCCTGGAGTGAGAGCATGAGCAGTTCACTCACAACAGTAAGAATAAGAGCAGAGAAAGGAGCACAGACAAAAGCAGGTCAGGAGCAGATGGGATGGAGGTAGGGGGTGGTGCTATGCATGAATTCTCTTCTGATTGAGTTTATTGATTATCTGTTCTAAATGTCATCAACTGAGAACATGAATAGGAAAGCAAGTGCTGGGGGTTTGAACAGAGAGAAGATGTGACATAGTTGTTAGGAAAGAGCAGAGTTCTCAAGTTCAGGCTCTTAATGCAAGTAAGAGTCTCATTTACATTTCCTGAACATAATATTTATATGTCTAATAATTCTGGGCTTTTGAGTTAAATAAGTGGATATTTAGTTTTGAAAAACGTATCTATGAGACATGAAATCAAGCAGAAAGTATGCATTCATGAAGATGGAATGGTTTCATAGAAAGAACATGGCGTTTAAAATCATAAGATCTGGGTTCAGGTTGTGGTTCTGTCACTACTAACTAAATGATCAAATGCAATTCCCTTGTGCTTTCAAAGCCTTGATAACTTAACCTGAAAGAGAGGGTAATACCTAACTCCCATGGTTATCATGAAGACTAAATGCAGTGGTACTGGAGGCAGTACTGTGGCAACTGCATAGTGTTAAGTAAATGTTAACTATTATTGTTTCTTTGTTATTTAACTGTAGATTGATCAACTAATTGATTTATCTATAGATCAACTGTAGATCACTAAACAATAAAGTATCTTTGAGAGAACAGTGAAAACTTTCTCAGCGAAATACATATAGCACTGAAAACAAGACAAGTTTTAAAACTAGTCACATGTTCTGAGATATAAAGATACTAAAATTTACTTTGTTTTCTTAATCGCTTCCCCTACAAGAAGATCTCAGAGTCCCACAGCTGGCAAGTCAATTTGGCAGAGAAGGGATGTAGCAAGAAGCTGAGAGGTTATGTGTACTGTAAAGAAGACAGCCACAGTGAGTCAGCTTTGGGCAAAATGGGGAGAATTCACTGTGCTCTCAATGCAAGGCCGCCTCCTTGTGCAAGTCAGGCCTGTGCCGACATCGCCCTCTGGTGGCCGATGAAGTTGGTTGCAAAGCTCTGCAAGAGAAGGCCCCAGTCAGCTGGACAAGGAAAAGCTCTGCAGTATCTGGTTATCACCCTTGCCAGGACTGACTTAGTTAAAAAAATAAAATAAAATAGAAACATCACTATCCAAAGAGTGCTATTACATGTAACCCAATTAACTGCCCTTTCTATATCTAGACTCGGAAACCCGATAATTTCCACTGTTGGCCTAAGTGAGCCTGCTATAAAATTGTACCAAGAGCACCGGTGATGACTTACTGAACCTCATCTAACAACAAACTCGAAGTTGGGTGTATAATAACATAAGGAAGTCTAGGGCCCTTCCATCACTTCTGAAGTAGTAGTCAGAAGAAAAAATATCTCATTTAGAAAGTTCCCAGGCAAAACACAAGCACAAAATCTATCATTTTGTCAAAAACCATCATTTGATAATCTATAAAAATCAGACCCATATAAGAGAAGGCCCTATTCACAGAGAACTCACTCACTGCACCAGATTTCTACAAGACCAAATAAGAAAGTTCTTTTCCTTTCTTCTTCAATGTCTCTGAACAGCCACCTCTCCTCCTCCCATTTATCCTTAGACAAGCCTTCTATAAACAAGGTAGTATGGGGGAAAAATAAGCAATTTATAATTTAGTTAATTATAACTATAAGCTTTGTATTATTCTTTTTGAACAGTTGGTAAATCCATGTGTGTGAATCCAACTGGCCCAAAAGTAAGTCTCCCCCCAAACCCTACATTCTAGCCAGCCAGTTCTTCATAGAAATCACTGTTAACAACTTTGAGAGCAGCCTTTCTAAGCTAATGAACTTTTAATTACAGGTTATTCACATATTAAATATTAGCAGGGAAAATCTAATAATTTTTTATAAGCAAAAGAGTTTCAAAAAACTTTCCTCTTTTTGGGTCAAGTTAATGGTACATAGATCAAGTCACCCAAGATGAACGACAAGAAAATCTACTGCTACTATCTCATCATCCTCACCCTCCTAAGCCGAGTCCAGGTGGTGGAAGCAGTGCACAGCTAAAGTAAAATTTTAAATTAAAAAACAGCAGGCTTCCTACAGCTGTGACTGATGAAAAAGAGAAAATCAACTCAAAGTAAGAAGAAGGAAGGAAGTATTAAAAGATACAAGCAGGAATTAGAAACAGAAAAATAATAGAAAAAAAACTGAAACCAAAAGCTAGATCTTTAAAAAGATAACTGATAAACCTCTATCCAGACTCTTCAAGAAAAAAGAGAGGACACAAATTACCAGTATAATGAATGAGACGGCATGACAAGAGAGCCTACAGATATTTAAAGAATTAGGTAATATTATAATTTTATCTCCATTAATCCAACAAATTAGAGGAAAAAGACCAACTCTTTAAAAGATACAAACTACCAAAGCTCACTTGAGAAGAAACAGAAAACCTAAACAGTTCATATCTCTTAGAGAAATTAAATTCATTGCTAAAAACCTGACAAAGCAAATTCCAGACCTAAATGGCTTCATGATGAAGTCTATCAAACATATTATAGAAGAAAACATCAATTCTGCACAAACTGTTGTAGAAAACAGAATAAGAGGGAATATTTCCCAACTCATTTTATGATGTCAGCATGACCTCAATTCTAAAACTGGACAAAAGCCTCACAAGGAAGCAAGAGACCATAGCCCACATGCACACAGATGCAAAAATCCTCAATCAAATGTTAGCAAATTTGATCCAGTAATATATAAAAGCAGCAAATCTCTTTTAAAGGGTTTAATCCATTTTTTAATCCTGACCTGGGATTACTATTAAAGACAAGTGGCATCTGACTCCATTCTAAATTCAGTCTTGGTGTAAACAAAGAATTTGAAGTATCTAACTTTACAAAGCTACTTTCAAAGAAAAGGCACAACAGACAGTTTATTTAGGAAATTAAGAGGTAGATTATACAGTAGTTGAGACATTACAGAAGAAATTTTAGGGCTAAGAGTAATCTACAACTTCAAGAACACATACTCAACTGAAGTATAATGAACCTACTACCTCTTTGGTTTCTAACAAAGAAATTTAGATAAAGAGAAAGATACTAGCTTATACTAAAAAAACTCAGTTGTTTCCTCAAAGGTTTCTAAGATTATGACCCAAAATATAACCCCTAATCTATTTTCTGAACTTATACATCCAGTTTGGCTTAATTACTTACCTTCAACCTGGCTAGTGTCTGAGCATGGTTTCTTCTTTGACTCCGAATTCCCGGTTTTCTCATCAACATCCAAGAGAGGAATATAGTCTGTTTTTCCAACAGTTTCTCCCACAACATCATCAAAGGCCTCTGCCTCCAGTGTGGCAATAAAGTCCCGTTTTATCTCTTCCTCAATTTCTGGAGGTGGCTCTGTTAATGCATCTGCAAGACTGAGGTCAGCCATTCTGCACCACTGCAACTGCCTGGTTAAGGGAAAAAAATATTTCATGTAATGAGCACTGCAAAAGGAAAAACACTTCTAGAAACTCTTGCCATTGTTTTACACAAAAAAGGAATTTAAAATCCAAAATTTTAGAGCTAAAAGAGACTTCCTTGTTTTATAGATTAGAAAATTAAAGTTGAGTAATGGACAGTCTTACCCAAGGTAAACACTTATTTTCTCACATCTCTGGGAGGTAAAACAGAGTCAAGTACCACTCCACCCTTTTCATTAATAAGAAAATGAAATATAAATATATATATATATGTATCAATTTATCCAAAGTTATAGTCAGTAAGACTCACATCATGTCTTTTGATTTCAAGTCTTAAAACCCTTTCAACAATTCCATGTATCCATTTCTAAATCATATCCCAGAATAATTCTCAAAAATATACACAAAAAAGGTCAGGTTAGATTACATTCCTATTTAAAAACCAAAAAAACCAAAAAAAAAAAAAAAAAAGGTTGCATTACTATCCGGCAAATGAAGTCACTTTTCTTTATCAGCAACTAGGAGTACGGGCTTTATCCTGTACAGGTTAAGTACTGTTTCTTCATGAATCACTTGGACACAGCTCTGTAAACCAAACTACACTTAGCCCTGCTGGCGTGAAAAATACGAACACCTGAATTACTTCCCTGAATTAGCTAGGGGAAGCAGTCCCTCTCTGTGTGAAGACAACCATCTTTACAGAACACCAGACTTTCGATTTTTAAACATAATCCGAAATTAAAAAGAATAATCTACTACAGGCAAAACTGTTAAATGAATAACCAAGAAAATACAGAAATGCATAATATAATAAAGAGCTCTCAGTATATATATAGCACACTAGAAAATAAAAAAAGTGTGCAGGGTACTCTGCTTTCAGAGTCTAATTTAATAGAGACCCTAAAATACTTTCAAAAGGATGAGTGGACATGTGAGCCATAATCTTGACCCGGTAAATGTAAATCAAATAGCAACCCTCAACTGCATAGTATACTATGCTTCAGCCTACTCAGAAATTTATTCTTCCTCATGTCCCCCCATACACACCAATGCTGGGTCAGGCACATGACTAGAGTATGGCCAATCAGAAGACAAAGTGAATGGTTAGAAAAGGCCCATTTCATGACTATATCCCAGAAGGAAGGTCCACAAGTGGCAGTTGTTCAGTTGCCCTGGTTATCTTCTTTCTCAAATCTAAGTGAGCAACTTTCCAATCTTTCTTTTGTTTAGTCAGTCCATTTCTGCTGCTTGCAACCAAAGAATCTCAACTAATATACATAGTCTTTCCCCAACTCTAATTTTTAAAAGCCGAAATTTACTGTCATTCAACCCACTTAATGGCCAGGCATTCCTTTCAAACTCCCCTCCACTGTCTACTTTTCTCCAACAAATGTAGTAACACACAGCAAAGAATACAGTCATTCTATCTTCATTTTTGTCCCTATACACTCTGCTCCTCCCACTTACACTATCTGTGCTACAAATATGAAATTCATAGGCCTTTTTCTTTCAGTTTCCTCCATAGGATGAAGCTGTGAGGCTACTACAACAAAACACACACGGAACAAATACTTCAAGACTCTTGAAAAACCAGAAGTCATCCTATCCCTAATGCCCAAACCCAACACCTAAAAAGCTTTCCTGTATGTTTCAATGTTTTTTTTAACATTTTTATTGATTTATAATCATTTTACAATGTTGTGTCAAATTCCAGTGTTCAGCACAATTTTTCAGTCATTCATGGACATATACACACTCATTGTCACATTTTTTTCTCTGTGAGTTATAACATTTTGTGTATATTTCCCTGTGCTATACAGTGTAATCTTGTTTATCTATTCTACAATTTTGAAATCTCAGTCTATCCCTTCCCACCCTCCACCCTCCTGGTAACCACAAGTCTGTATTCTCTGTCTGTGAGTCTATTCTGTCCTGTTGTATAAAGTATAAGAATAATGGCATAGCAGCTTAAAGCAGCACATATAATAAAAGTGGAAGGAGGGAGGAGGGTATAGCTCAGTGGTAGAGTACCTGCTTAGCATGCATGAAGCCCTGGGTTCAACCCCCAGTACTTCCATTAAATAAATAAATGAAAATAAGCCTAATTACCTCCCCTACTTCCACTCCAAAAAAAGTGGAATGATACAGAGAACATTAGCATGACCCCTGGGCATGGATGACACACAAATTCGTGAAACGTTCCTCATTTTTCACAACAATGTAGATGTACTTAACATTTTTTAACTATACACCTAAAAATGGTTAAGGTGGTTAATTTTATGATGTGTATTTTACCACAATTAGATTTTTTCCATTAAAAATGAGATATACAAAAGAAAAAATAAGCTAATATTAGAGACAATATACTCAAAAAATATTCAATTAATCCAAAAGCACACAGAAAAAGAACAGATAGAACAGACTAGTAAGATGACAAATTTAAATTCAACCATATCAGTAATTACCATTAAATATAAATAGCCTAAATACACCCAGTTAAGACAGGGACTTTCAGATTGAACAAGAAAAAGATCCACCTATACATTGTCTACAAGAAGTCCACTTTTATTAAATACAAAAAAAAAAAGGCAAGGATGTGGAGAGGTTGGAACACTTGTATATTGTCAGTAGGAGAAGAAAATGGTACAGCCACTATGGAAAACAGTATAGCAGTCTCTCAAAAAATTAAAACTAGAACAATCATAAAACCAGCAGTTCTACTTCTGGACATATACTTGAAAAAGAATTGAAAGAAGGGTCTCAAAGAATATTTGTATATCTATCTTCACAGAATCATTATTCACAATAGCTAAAATGTAAAAGCAATCAAAATGTCCATGGATAGATGAACAGATAAACAAAATGTGGTATACACACACAATGGAATATTATTCAGCCTTGAAAAGGAAGGAAATCCTGACACATTTTACAACATAAATAAACCTTGAGGACATTGTGCTAAATGAAATAAGCCAATCACAAAAAGACAAATGCTATATGATTGCACTTATATGAGGTACTCAGGATAATCAAAATTATAGAGACATAAAATAGAATGGTAGTTGCTGGAGGCGGGAGGGAAAGGTTATGGGAGGGTTATTGTTTAATGGGTAGTTTCAGTTTTGCAAGATGAAAAGGATGGTGGTGACAGCTGTACAACAATATGAACATACTTCATGCCACTGAACTATACACTGAAAATTGGTTAAGATAAAAGAAAAAGGGGCTTGAAAGTAAAAGGACAGAGAAAGATATATATGCAAACATTATTTAAAAGGAAGCTAGGGTAGCTACATTAATATAAGACCAATTAGACTTCAGAACAAACAATACTACCATCAATAAAGAGATATATTACATAATGATAAAGGGGTCAATTCATCAAGATAAAACAATCTAAATGTGTATGCATATGACAACAGAGCTTTAAATTTAAAATACATGCAACAAAACTGGTAGAACTAAAAGGAGAAAAAAACCAAATACACAAATATACGCAAAGCCTTCTTTCTTCCTTCTGTCTCAGTAATCATTACAACAAAATTTTTTCCTTAGTATTACTATTTTTCTTGTGCAAGTAGCCCATCATGGTGCGAAAATGCATAATTAAAAATTAAATGCACTGTAGGTTTGTACAGCTTACTAAAATCATTCTTTCAAGAGCAAACAAGATTTGGTACAGTCTTAGGAATTTACTACAAATTATATGGATTTCAGTAACCATGCAGTAAGAAAAACAGAAACCCATGAAATATTGACTCATTGAATTCAACTAAATTTTATTAAAAACTCAACATAAATATTATTTATATACTCATGTACAAACAAAATTCTGAAAGGTCAAGTTTCTGAAACTGTAAAGCTTACAATACTCTTTAATAAATAGATTAAATTACAGGTGGGTTTTTTTTTTTTTGCAGGGGGATAAACTTCAATTTCCAAAAACAAGTAAGTCATAAGATTCTACCAAAAATCACACTTTAGTTAATTGTTAACACTAAAGCCAAAAATAAATATAAAAATAATAATGGAAAAATTAACAAAATTAATTCTATTTAGCAATATCTACTAACTACAACAGTGACGTTAAATCTAATTTAGCCAGTCTGTTAGTAAAAAACTAGTGCCGAGAACAAATTAAGTTTATAAAAAGAAATGCACAGAGGGATTTCAGTTATAACATCATGCAAGTTGGTGACTTCTCTCCATAAATATATATGTGTGTAAAGTTGGACAAAATTGCTTTTCTTAAAATCTGCTTTGGGTAAGATCAGTGAGAGTCTATGGCCCTCCTGTCTGGAGTTGCTTCCATCTCCATCCTACCCTACGCCAGCTGGGGGAATTACAGTCTTACCACTGTGGGGCTGGTGACAAAAACCGACAACTCTGCTGTCAAAGGGGGTGACTTGATTCGGGGTGGGAGGCAGAACTCCCATAAGCATGACAGAGCCAAAATAACCACTACTGAATTCAGAATGCAGGGGCTTCCTGGGGGAACCATGCAAAGAGGAGTTCGAATATAATTTCAACTGTTACAAACATCTGAATGGGCATTTTAATGTTCCTATCATAGTCATCGATCGGTATGAGGGGCACACCTATAACTCATTTACAGCACATGAATATGGGTGGGAAGTCCTATTCTAGGCACCACCCAAACTACTTTACATATTAAGTATTACAGTCCCTCCAGATCCTGTCAGGAAAAAATGCTGAAAAATGACTCATTAAAGAACTTTGTAAAAGTCCGACAAATGTCAAAGGGTTCCATAAAAAGGAACTGCTTTTCCTTTTTCTAGCTATGATTATTATTACCAGTTAGCCTTTGAAAGCTGTTATGAACCAAAACCAATAAGGGATGTCTATAATTAAACAGTTTCATACTCAAAGAGAACTTGAAAGGATATCCGTACCATCTTCAACAACATAGAATAAGAGCCCAGTAATTTATTTTTCCTGAAAATATATAATTATAATACTTATTTCAT